CTACATCTGTAGGACAATATACACATTTCCTCAGTTATGTACCAATCCGATACAAGATCAATTTGGTCAGATGACTGACGAATATAGCAAGACGCATCTGTACAGATGACTCCCTAGAGAATGAGCTAGGGTACATCCAAAATACGTTAGTCCAAATGGGTTATCCTAGTAGATTTTTCAGGAGACACATGAATGCCAAGTACAATAAAGTAAAACCGACAACAGTTAAAAAGAAACAACTGTTCATGAAACTGCAATTTAATGGGGACGTGGCTAGTGAAGTCTTACATCAGAGATTATCGAGAGCGATAAAACGGACTTATACTGCCGCCACCCTCTGTTAGTCATTTTCCAGCCGACCAATTTTGATTGCTCAAGTGAAAGATAAGCTACCTAGTTGTGCCACTTCCATGTGTATCTATAAATTTAGTTGCTCCTGTGGAGAAAGCTATATAGGCCGAACAACTAGACAGCTTAACAAACGCATTAATGAGCATCTTCCTTCATGGTTCGGAAAAGGTCAAATAAAATCCATACGAAGTTCTATTTTGGCTCATTTGATTGATAGTGGTCACCAAGTGGACAAAAATAGTGCTTTCAAAGTTATTTACCGCATTCCATCGAGTCTTTCGAACGGAATCAGAACCCGTCTTTTACACTTAGCCGAAGCTAAGGGAATTCTAGAGAACAATCCCAGTCTTTGTATACAAAAGAAATTTGTTCACTCTTTGTCTCTCCCTTGGCTTGCCTAGGTGAATTCTATTCAAAACCCTCCCACCCTTTCTTATCATCCCTCTCCTTCGTACTTTTGTGATATTTATTTAAACTCTGATTATCGTTCCATTTGATTTGACCTAATTTATTTATTTATTGAATTGTCTACATATATGCATATACTAACTTTGTTATTCCTATCACCTATATAAGCCTTATTAACAATATTTTGTTATTATTATAATCATCGTTATTAACTTCGTTCAAAACATTTACCACATTAGTATTATTATTATGATTATTATTATTTGATCCACAAAATCACCGTCATTGGTTAAAATTTTATATATATAAGTCTATGTAAATTAGAGTAAAGCCTGAAGAAGATGTGATTGAAAACAATATTGTTCGCTTATATGTCTTGTTCTAATATTATAAATGGGAGTACAGAAATAAGCCGAAATTATGCTGCTTGTTAGGTGAATTGAACTACTGCGTATTCATCGGTGTACTATGAAGCCAATAACTCACAGATGGTCGACTTCATATAAAGTTGTGTTCATCAACTTTTTAGTTCTTTATCAGCTACCCATTCTTATAAGATATGACTCTCTGTTATCTATCACAAGGTAATTAATTCCTTCTATCTATCTATCTATCAACAGTCAACCATCAGCAGTATGCACCAGTCAGGGTTCGGACCCAGGAGGTTCTGGTTAGAAGGCGAGCTCGTAGACCATTAAAACACTTGGAACCGATCACATGACCCATGAATTCTAATTGATTAGTTGGCAATTGTTAAAACCCTGGATTTCTTTGCTTCATATTTAAAAGATGCAGTTAAATTTTGTTCTGGCTAAAATCCACTTATCAGTTTTTACGTCCGGTCACTTCTCCTATACGGAAATGGAAGAATCCTGTCGAAAATCCTCGTTTATAAACATGTGAAGTGCTACATAGTTGAATTTCAAATGAATCGTCAATCTTTATAAAACAGAAGAGAATGTATAGCATATTTCACAATCATTTTTGCTTTCACATCTGGTAGAACAACGAAAATATTTTTTGGTGTCATTTATTTGAAATTTTGTTTACTTAGTTTCACTTGGAAAATCCCCATTACTTACACGACAAAGGATGGGTCAGCGAATGAAATCATATGGATGAACAACGGTAAGTAGTGCTGTATGCTGTATGCTATATTAATACTTGTAATGGTCACAAGTTCAATAAAACAATCCATCACCTACCTACCTACCTACCTATCCACCCACCTGTTCGTCACTTTGTAGTCGAATCCCACTCCACGTCCTGGTATGTGACATCAATGAATCCTTCTTCGGTGTACGTTCAATTCACCTGCATTTCTTCCTGAATATTTCTTGGACAGTAGGTTCTTGGTTATTTGCCTCCCTCAAAGAGATTGTTGATGCTTATTCTTTCTGGCTATCTGTCTGGTCTTCATTGTCGAGTGGAGGCAGGTGTTGATGAAGGTTTAAAGTGACATGTTGGAGATACCTGTGGTGACGCACCAATCACTGGACCACATAAAAGCGCTGACTTGACAGTGGTGTTAAAAATCCAGATGTCGTATTTTTGTGCTGAGTGTTTATTTGTGTGTGTGAATCTTCAAATTGATTTCAAAGTAATGAACACCTGTCATGTTTTTCTGATACTGTCTTCGATACCTTCATTTGTGACCCATATAGTTGAAAAATACACCGATTGAATCATTAATTCACACAGTTTTACTACAACTAGAGTTCGTATTCAGAAATTTAGAAGACAGAGAAAAGTTCAAGGGAATAAATTTCCTTTTTAATACACCACTTAGTAACTGGTGTCATGTGTCCAGTCCTTTGTTTGGTGCAGTCTGAATTCTATCAGTCAAGTTTGCAATAGGGCCAACATGCTACTAGGTGGCTCGCCATCATTGAGCACTTTGAATTGTTGATATTAGTTGGTGGAGGTAATCGGCAACAGGAAGCCTTACTTGACCTAGGTTTCGTGCTAGTTGACACCCATCAGTCAGGAAGGCGTATCTGAAACCTTGAAGGAACTCATGTCTCTATAATTACATATATTATTATTATTGCTCCCTTGGGTTCCTAGTGGAACATAGGGCTTCAACTGCACGTCTCCATTTTCTTCTGTCTTCTGCTATACTTTTCGCCTGCCTCCATGTTAATCCATATTCTTTCAACTCCTCTTCACACGATCTCCTCCATGTCACGCTTGGACGTCCCACACGCCGCTTCCCTTTCGGGTTCCACTCGAGGGCTTGGCGCGCGATGTCACCCAGCGGTCTCCTCAGTTAGTGTCCGATCCATATATATATATATATATATATAATAATCGTCACTGATAATAATGATACTTTTTCAATAATATCGATTTGTTAGGATCAATGGAATTACAGTTCAAGGGAGATGCATAATTTATTATGAGCACTGAAAATGTAATACTAAATAGAATATCGTATAAGGTTAAGAAAATGCATAGGAATTAAGGATAGTTAAAACACTGATGAAGAAAGCAAGAGGGAGCATATGAACTAAATTATTTCGGATTCATAAGATGGTCTTCTTAATGTAGATTCCGACGGCTTCAGTAATATATAACAGAAGAACTCTTGACATAAAATTAAGGTTTGTCGGAATACAGTAGATAACTTTCAGAGCATCGTAAACATCAATTTTGTGTTCTGTATCCACGAGATGAGATATATAATAGAGTTATGAATGGACCTTGTTTTTCTTTGCTTAACCACGCAGGATGGTGTTAGGAAATCCGATGATAAACACGCCTAACTGTACGCCCTATGACAGTGACTCCACAGGAACAGTCAAATTGATAGATTTACACAGAAGAGGCAAAATTAGGTAAAATAGGGGTGGTTATAAAGAGACAGCGGCAACGAATGAACGTTTCACTGCATTACTCAGAAGCTGCGCTATTATTAATCGCTGGGGTCGTCATTGAGGAGATGGATTTGTAAGGACTGTTTGTACTCTTACTTGCCTTGAATTCACATTCATATTGTTGTCGATGAATTTCTCTGGGTATTCGATTTTACTCATCAGTTGTTTATTAGTAGTGAGCTCTTCATTAAGACATTTATCAGAGTAGATTTCTCTTACTTGGGAGATAAAACGCTTTATTAGATTGCGTTTATATAGACACTAAAATAAAACATTTAGGGATTAATACAATATGAAAGTCTTAGTTCCTTTGTTTATGCTGTTTTCAATTATACTGTGATGAAGGTTGGCTGTTAGTCAAAATTGGTGGACAGTAATTTACGTCAATATTTATGTCCCAAATATTGGTCGTGAGAAAATATGAACAAAGACTTATTCAACAACCAACCACAGCAGACTTTGCGTAGGCGGATACATTTGATGACATACAGATGATCTGACATTCAAAAAACAGCCACAAAGAGATGAAAGATTAACTTTCAGTGAGAAGCAAGCAATCAGAAGACTGTGTTTGTTTGCTTGAATAATCTATAATAATGTACATGAAAATATATAAATACGTGTTGATTTCCTTAATAAACGATCTGTTGTATGGTGCTTGTCTTCTGTTGTTACAATACTATTAGATATCTAGTTCCAAGATAAAATGCATCCCCTATTCCGTTAAATATTTTATTCATAAGGAGATTAGATAAAGTGGAAAGGAGAATGTCTAGTGAAGCGGAATTACGAATGACCATCCCCAGACGGACGAAGACTTTGTCCATGTGATAGGAATGATCTAAAACCAATTTCAAGTATTCGTAATCCACAATGACAATTTGAACATTATTATGATTCATTCGATTCCAGTCTACATCATTTGTTTGAATGCATTTCGATTTCACTGTCTTCTAAGCTGTGCGGCATTCAGTTGCAACATACAGTACACTAACTGCTATGTAAGAATGTAACAACAGAAGACAAGCACCATACAACAGATCGTTTATTAAGGAAATCAACACGTATTTATATATTTTCATGTACATTATTATAGATTATTCAAGCAAACAAACACAGTCTTCTGATTGCTTGCTTCTCACTGAAAGTTAATCTTTCATCTCTTTGTGGCTGTTTTTTGAATGTCAGATCATCTGTATGTCATCAAATGTATCCGCCTACGCAAAGTCTGCTGTGGTTGGTTGTTGAATAAGTCTTTGTTCATATTTTCTCACGACCAATATTTGGGACATAAATATTGACGTAAATTACTGTTACCAATTTAGCTAGCAGCCTGCTCTCATCACAAGAATATTACTCATTGGGCCGGAGTATTTTTTTATTTAGTCATTATAGGTGTAGTGCCGATTATATATGGAGTACATAATGTTATATTAATTTTCTTCATCTCAAAGCTACTCTGAAGATGGAGCTCAACGTTATGCCAAATGACTGGTACATAATCAATATTGGACAGATTGGATATTATAGAGTTCATTACGTTGACAATAATTGGGAATTACTGATAGATGAATTACTCAAAAACTATAGGGTAAGTTGTTCCATTTACTGAGAAAGTAGGACTGATTTAAAAAATCTTATTTCGTAATAACAGTGACCATAACAGAAAAGGTCAAGTTACAATCGTCTATTATTGAGTCATTCACTTATAATCACTGATACAGTCTGGTTAGATACGAATCTGTTCAGTGACCTACATTAAACTGAACACAAGTGGCTGACAACATCCTATAAGTGTGATATGTGTGAATTACATAACCTGAGGAAATGTTTGTCATGTTGACATTGAGGAATAAGCAAAAGGCAGGAACGGACTATATGGAGAGAAAGTGGGTGTTCGACTGAGATATGTACGAGGTAACATGTTGGATATACACGATATCTTGTAATTTTATTACTACCTTGTAAAGAAATGCAAATGTGTTAATTGAAGGACGAATATTTAAATGTTACTGATTAACGCCAACTCAGCCGCCTTACTTCATGATCGCAATGTTCATTTGATTTTATCAATCCTTTCAGCTGCATGAATAATTCAAAGATCTCTTTCCCACAGAAGGCAGTCTTCTTCCCGAGTCTCTACTTCAACCACAACTCACAAATTAGTACAAGATAAAAAAGGGTGAAGGCTAACACAAAGGGAAGATTTCTATCATGTTTAATATGTGTTAACGGTTAGAAGGTATGATGCACGAGAATGTTGGCCAGTTGATTTATCTCTTAGAATGTTTCTTGAAAAGAATAACTACACAGTGTGATGGACAATTCCCCACTGGAGTAAATCTGTAGATATGTAAAACGAAATAATTAGGATTTCACAGAACACCGAAATCTGTTTGTCAAAATGACTTAGAAAATTGTAGTTCATATTGCAGAAGCCATATCTTCACAAAAACACTTTGTCCGCCAAAAGACATTTGTCTAATTTTAGAATGTGGAAACAATCTGAGTTGATGACGTCCTTGTCGTGTGTGTTCTATCCGTGATCAGGTAATCAATGTGGATTCCTGGAGAATCCCATTCTAGTATGAAGAATCCTTTTGCAGTTCCTTGGTTTTCAGCTCTCTTCTAGTTGATGTGTGTTGCCTAGTGAGACAAAAACATTAACTTTGAAATAATTTGAATCTCCACAAGTATGGCATTCAAAGATCATTCAAAATTTCTGTTAATTCATATGGTCTATTTTCTATTTTCAGAGTATTCCAGATTCTGCACGTCCACAGATCATCGGTGATTTATTCCATCTCGCAAAGTAAGTGATCACTAACTAAACGAAGATCATAAAATAAAAATATACCTATGGAATCACTAACTGATGAGCAGTGGTCAGGTTAACTATACACCTCTAGTTCTTTCTCTGCACTATCCTACTATCTGGTAGGCGAGTTGTTTTCATAAGAAGGCTTCATATTGTTATACTGGTTCATTGGAAACATCAGATATCTTCCTCATTTTTCTCGATTTGTTTCATGATTTCACAGAGGTCAAGAAAAGCACCTATTTAGCATTTCAAAATATCTGAGCTGTTAACAATTTCATCTGGAATAGGATATGGATATTTCGTCTTGCATTTATTCCTTGAAATTCTCATGTCTAATGGTGTCATGGTAAAGCGTTAATAATAACATAGTAATGAGTTTACACAACAGGTGATTGCTACAAAATTTATACGCATATGCTTCATCCGCAATAGTGGAAATTATAGCCTAAATAAAGTTCCTTTGGAGGTGAATTAGTAGCCAAGACGTTCCTGCTTCAGTTGTGTTGTTTCAATAGGAACTGCAAAGTGTATCTTAGTGTACAGTGTGTGGAAATCCACTCATAGTTACATTAAATGTGCTTATATTTCTCCCATCACTAGCATGATATCTCAGACAGTGAATGAGAGACTGCATTCTTCTTCAAAAACAGTGTAAACGTTTTCCTCCAACATTACACCCTGCCTATTTTCACCTTCTTAATGTCATTAGTAAAAAGAGATACATTTAAACAGTTATCGGTTGTTCAATGTTTCGAGGAAAACAAAGTATTTCTGAATCTCAAACACCATATTGCCCCAAAAACTATCAACAACCTGTAGGATTATTAAGGTGAACTAGGTTTTGAAGTTCTTGTACATATTCAAGATAAAATATGAGATCTCAATTCAATTTAGTGAGAAGTACATACTGAGTGTCACCATTCGGAATGCCAAGAGTTGAAACGTTTAAGGCTGAGATAGTTTGTGTTGATCAGGACAGTTTGAAAACGAAATAGCAAACGAAAATTCAGTGTGCATTGAACAAAAGACTAGACACATGACAACTATTTACTACTGTCTAGTGTCCAATCAAAGTATAACTGAAAATCTCACATATTTTCTACTTTCTTCCAGTCATGGTAACGTATCATTCACTACTTTCCTGAACTTGACGAAATATTTGAGCCAAGAAACGCAATATGTGCCTTGGACAACTGCCGGAAGAGCTCTTCTCTATCTTGACCGTATGCTTCTTTTGGATGAGAATTACGGAGATTATCAAGCATATGTACGTCTCCTTGTAAATGCAGCTGTGAGAGACGTTGATTGGATAACTATGAGAGAAGATCGCAATGAAGAGAAACAGTAAGTTTTATAGCTTTCTTAATCATTCATTCGTCACACTAATTATGCCTAATTGTTATGTCAAATGTAGTGCTAATGGCAGTGGTATTTCAAGACTAATGGATTAAGAAATATGATTAAGAAATCTTCAGACACTTCTAATCTCCGAATGCTTCCATACATTTGAATGAGGTTGTGTTCCCTGAGCTGGGTGATTTAATTAAGAAGCGCATCACTAAAATTTTCGGTTTTCTAGATAAACGCCAATATTCTAAAGAAATTCGCTCAATACAGAATCATTAATCAGTTAGAGATTAAAGTGGAATTAAATCGTTAAATAGAGACACATAACATAGTTGATGGGAGTGAAAAGAGTTGAAGTAAGGTCTGGCCAAGAGCTATAACGATGATAATAGTGAAAAGTGATCAGGGATAAAATGCTTAACAATCGAAAACTTTCAATTACTCATGAAGATTTTAGCGATGCAGGATGTTTTAGCATATACTGATTTTCTTTGCATGTATCTGAACGTTGTGTGGAATAAATTTGTAGGCACGTATTTATGGTCATCTATGTGCTTCATATTCAGTTGTCAATGACTTAAACCTCATCAAAAAAGGTTGATTTGCATTTGATTTCTTGTCTCGTTTTGTTGTTGATCTTCAGTTTGTTACGCGGAACCTTGGGGGAAATTGCTTGTCATGTTGAACATGAATTATGTTTACTCACTGCTAGAGTGTTATTCACACTATGGATGTCGGAACCTGTGACGAATCCGTGAGTTATTCAAGAAACATTAACTTTTATTTTGATGTTATAATGAGATAGTCGCCTAGACATTTTGTTTGAATCGATGTGGAAGTGATTTGAAGAGCAACAGTAACATTTTCGAGATGTGTTGTTAAGAGAAGTTGTCCAGATTGTTCCATGTATTTAGTCTTGGAGAGCACTCCACTTACCATTATTTGTGGGTAATATAGTGACACTTTCCAATATAAAGATGGAAAGCTGACGTAATTTCATTTAGAGTATCATTTAGTCTAGTTGAATGTCAAAATATTCCAACGATGCAGATGTCCATCTCTCATTTATGGCATTCTGAGGCACGTTTTATTGATCAACCAACGAATCTGAACACTTACTTGTTTTAAGATCTCTTGAGATGAGTCAAACGGTAGGGAAACTCATTAATGTGACATGAATTTCATAACTAAATAGATGGATGAATCAAGATCAGTGAAGAATTCTCATGACTGATGGACATTACGGTGTTATTGAATCCATTTCTCGTTAAAGATACATATTACTGGTAAACATATTTTGGGCGATCAGTGTACCACAGCAGAATAAACATTATTGGAGTATGAAGTTGAAATATATTTCAAGAGAATTTCATAGGAACTCACTTCTTTGACAAACCTCAACTTGTCGATCACATATTATTGAAATATCTTGACAAAATTGATTGATGATGAAGTGGCTGGTGGATGACCTGTTCATAACAGATGTACTGATTTGGCCTTCAATTATTGGAAAACTTGCAGGGAGTACTGGACAGACAGCCGTTTCATCAGTCTTGTTTGGGACTCTTCGCCAATACGCGCCTACCGGAGACCGAATCCAGGTCCTTCTGGTTACAAGGCGATCTAGCTCGTAGACAACTAAGCCGCTGGTACCAGATCCATTGAACAATTTACGACAGCTCATGGTGGAATCCCGTAACCAGTCAGTCTAATCCCTACAAACCAATAATTGGCCTCCATTTGATAGTGTCAAATATTTGACTCGTCTATATCCTCGAAATATGCATTCTTCATAGATATGACTCTCCGAAAGGTGCTAAATTTTCTCCCCATAATTCATTAACCGTAGTTATGGTTTAATTCTATAGGGGGAATCGAGATTCAAGCATGCAGTAAGCTCTCTATCAAGCAAATCTATTGTTAAATGGGGTAGAGATTGTTGCAAAATACCTAAAAATACTTAGTAATCTGTTTACAGGCAAGTTTCAACGCAAACTTCGAAGAAACACTGGAGAAAAGGCAGTAACGACCAAAAATTGGGGTGTTGTGGTTTGAAAGCAGGAAACCGATTCATTGTGTTCTACTGTATAGCTAACAATAAATTAATAATAATAGTAATAATAATAAAGCGTTATTTCACACAATATGTGAACATATAGTACAAAAATCTTCAGTGTATTAAGTTCCAAAATGATTTTTTCTTGAAAGACGATTTACATGTAAAGTAATAATCTGAAGTATATCTTTGTTTCCTTGAAGAACTTCACAGCGTTTACTTGGAAACAAGTTGAATCAGCGCTGAATTTCATCTATAGGTTATTTGATACATCTGAACAATTAAAACAACGATAAATCCCCATGAAATTAAGCATTATGGTGGAAAGCAGTTTCGGTTGGCCAGTGATTTAAACAGGCCACCATAAGTTCTTTATATCATTTACTCACAGTCACAAAAACGTCTGGACAGTAGTAAAAAGACAGCTGTTTATGATAAATACCACGGTACAAGTAAATACAATCATAACATATGGAAATGCAAAATTACCTCAACAATCCCGTTAGGCAGGTATGCAGATCAAATCAGATCTCAGATACGAGAGAAGTATTATACAACAGAATTATTCAGTCTAGATCAACCGTATAAGGTACTTAGGAATCAAGAAGTATATTTCCAACTAGGTGGGATTGAAACTCTCTTAGCAAGTCACACACACACACACCAAACAATTCCTGAAGACAATCGAAGTTCAGAATCACCTTGACTCTCTAGAACATAATCGCTGTCAAAAAATAACACATTACAGATGTCATAATACAACCATAAAGAGAAGCATTAAAATTGGAGATTGAACAGAAACAAGGACAAATAATGAGGACTGTGTCATCAGACAACACAAGAACGTCAGAACGTTGATGGACAGTCTAGGACAAAAAGGGATAATAATCACAGAGTTGGTTGGAATGTCTAAATAAGTAACAATATCGTAAATAAATCATCCAAGAGGGACTTCCCAAACAACTATTGCTATACAAAGGTGAAACCATAATTAACATCCAGTTCTTATCATCAGGTGAGATAGTTAATCAACCTGATTCAAAATTTGTCTTCTTTAGTCTGATTATATATTGCCTATTCTACCTCCTGTTAACTCTGAATACACATTCCATAGCATACCGCCTGGTTTGAGATCAGTCGTCTACTGTACAGCTATCCGATTTGGTGGGCAAGCAGAATGGAAATTTCTCAGAAGTCAGTACAATGTTAATGAGACGGAAGATGTTGAAAAAGAAAATATCTTGACGGGATTATCTTGTTCTCGTGATATATGGACGATGAAACTGTAAGTGTATATAATATTAACAGTTAATTCGTCCGATGTTTGTTCATTGAAAACGAAGAAAGACTAGACCATGTGTCATCAATCAGAATTTCATTTTATGCCTTTCAATTTAGTCGAATAAGCAAGTTAACACTGATTATGTTCAATTCACTGTCAAAATTGTTATCACTTAAGTTTTTTTTTGTAATGAACTGTTTGTGTGAAACAAAATAGTTGATAAGCTACCCGACCTAATCAAATAATCTAAAAATTTATGGTGATCATGATGATGGCCACCGAGTGAGTTGTCAAGACTGTTAGGGACTTAAGGGTTTCGATAATAAAAATAACCAAAAATTTAAGGTTTAAAGTTACAGAGAATCGAATTTCAGAGGGAATAACTTGTCTTTAGGTGAAATGTTTTCTATAGAGGATGCAAAATACACAATGAACTTTGGTTAATAAGAAAGAATTATATGGAGGCAGGGAATAACCGAACTATTGCTGCTAGACGCCATAGAACCCCCTGACTTGACGGAGAAGTAACTTCTCATCGTTTTGTTTCTGTCTTCTGCCACTATTCGCCTTCTTCCTTACATTCCTGTTTCCTTAAATTGACGACGACTATGAAACTCGTCGTTTCGGTTGGTGACACAACACAAATGTGATATTCAGGTATCAGGTCTGTAGGTATTCAAAGAGACAGAATGAATCCCTCAACATTAACTGTCACATTCTGATAATGATGATGATGACGTCACTGTCTCCTCCTGGTTTTGTTCACATCCAGATACTTTGATTGGATTAAACAAGACAAACAATACTGGTCAGCGATTCCTGAATTCGCAGTATCTCCAATCGGTAACAGAATGTTGTGGGACTATGTGCATGAAGCGGTCAAATCTTTGAAAACTGGGTGAGTTGAGCTTGAGATGTATTTTGAATTTACCTTATAATTTATCCATGACATTTAATGGAACAAACGATCTGTCATTCACTTATGACATTTGCATTTTCCCTGTTGATTCGTACATTTTTATTCATATTTTTATGACATTTTGTCTGACTATTGTTGAGCGTGACTACGTGACTCAACCCTAAGATGACATCAGTGGAGTAGAAACAATATTATCAGAAAGCCACTCATATAACGTCTGGTGAGTTTGTAAGGTGGACTCTGCAACAAAATAAAGTAATCATTCCAGTTGAATAATTTTGAATGGGCGAACCATATAGGAGAGAAATTTTTCTGATGTTATTAGTGTTGATATTCCGAATCTTCTTCTTTATAATGACTGTGGAAGATTTCCATTCTGACTGTGGGCTGATGAATTCCTGCCTTGCCTTTCCGATGTAGAATTTGATGTTCTTAAACTTGTCAACCATAGTTGAGAAGATCATTCCTTCAAATTCCTTCTGTCAATGGTGATTGTTGGTTGCTATTGTTTTAGAGTGGTTCTTTAACTTCATCACCTCCTATTCCACTATGTTTACTTGAACTCCTGTCTTTGCTGCTAGCCCTACCGTCAACTTGTTGGTTTCCGCCTGTAGATCTCCAAAACAAAGATCAGAAAAATCATGCGCGAAACCCAGATCTTCTAGAATCTTCTTATCCATGCAATATATTCCTGTCTTCTCACTCTGAAGCACAGTGAATAATCTAGTTCACAACAATTCGGAATATCATCGGGGATAGTAGTGGGCAGCCTTGTCTAACTCATGTGAGTTTTCCGTTGTGAATCAGTTGACAGGTGGCATCATCATAAAACTGTTGAATGAAACTGAAGCAGGTTCAGTGTACTCTGTAGTGCAGAAGTAGTTTCAGAATAACTTCGTGGTCAACTCTTTGAAGACTTTTTCAAGTCGGATGAAGCTGAATATGGAGATCCGACTGCCATTCTTCTATGCTCTGTTCGATGATGAGGCGTGGCGTACTATGGAACACTCAGCATCCGTTCTCCTCAACTTGTAATCTACTCATTTATGCATGCAAATTGCAAAACATTAGATGGAAAATTACCAAGACTAGAGTCAGCAACATAAAATTAGTAACTGCATTACTCATTGTATGGAAAATTTATAAGTCATGAAGCACTGGTTGGCAGTAGCCCTGTTGGGGTCAAGCTATAATAGACGACATATTTACCGTCTAAGTATTGCCATTTATATCTCACACTTTCGGTTTCTGCGTCGTTCAGTACATCGGTCCCAATAATTTTTCCGTGTATGTCAGTGAAGCCAGTAACCTCGATATTGCTACATAGAAAATATTTCATTTGAACTACCTGTCATCGGGTTAATAAACCTTTAAGATTTTATGAGTTTCCACACAAAAGTGTTCCTGACATCCGAGTTTTAGTTTTATACAAATGCCTCAAGATATAAGGAATACTCTGACGAGTTTATAACTGAGTGAAAACACTCCAATAAAATGTCCAGATGTACACATTTTGGACATACACATTGAAAGCACAATAAAGGGGAATATAGCCGACTCCTTTCTACATACTTTCACAACATCTTTCTAAGCAAATTGTGAAGGTATATCTGAGTAATGACTGGTGTTTAAAAAGAGGAATCCTCAGTGACAGATGACTGGAACTAATTAACTCATAATTACTAAACGTAATATATTCAACTGTAGCTGATTATACTGCGGAAATGTTTCAATAAGTGACCTCTAGTTAATTAAATGTAGAATATTTAACCTAATGATCAAAACCTGTATGGAAGTTGATTAAATCGAATTAGTTCTAACAAATGATTCGTCTATTTCTTTTACAGCATGGAAAATTCAACACGTTCCCCAACTGATATGTGAGTTCTATCACCATTGATTTCCATTGCATTAAGAATTCAAACCAACTGTTAAATTTCATTCTCAGAAATTCATTTAACTTGTGTGAGATTCCTCCTTGAACAACTTTGCTGTTCTGCAAATTCCTTTGGTATTCATACAGTGATGACTGTACTATGTCTGGAAGTGCGCCAGTCTGGATTTTGGATAAGCTAACGGCTTTCCTCTTCTTGGCAGGAAAGGTGATTTTCGTGTGTGTCATATGAATTTATGTTTATGCTAATTATCCACAAGGAGGAGTAATCACCGTCATTGTTTGTTCTATGGATGTAACGCAGTACATAAATTGAAACTTTGAAATATCATGAACATGAAAGTGTTGTTTAAATGAAATCTGCAATTGCGGTTGACAGCCTTATTTGGAATCTGTTTGTTGCTAGTAATAATCATTGGGAAACTCACGGAAACCGTCGAAGTAAAGGCAGGAGTAATACGAGGCCGGCTGGCTGCTAAAAATCTCCAATGATTTTCCTGATTTCGGTAGACTGCATAACGCGACAGACAGCGAGGCACGAGAAGACAAGCATAAAATGGACCCACACAAAATACTTGGAGGTTCTGGATTTCACTGACAATATGTGCCTGATTTCACAAAAAATAGAAGATATGCAAATGAAAAGCAACAAGTTGGGAGAAGAAGTATCGAAGATAGAACTCCAAGTGAACAAAGGGAGGACAGATGTGACGAAGATTCCTGGCCGACGGCAACAACAACAGGCAACAATCAGCACAAATGGAAAGATTCTGAAAGAATCGACCTCCTTTACCTATCTGCGAAGCACAGGTTCAACTATTTTTTTTTTTTTAGGCGGAGGATCTCAAAGCGAGGATCGGGAAAACAAGGCAAGTCTGTGTGTAGATCAACAGCACTCAGCATCAAAAATAAGATCCAGATTTCCAACTCCATTGTGAAGTCGGTGCTACTTTGTGTATCAGAGACTGGGCGCGTCACAAAGAGCACTTCAAACAAACTACAGACTTTCGTCTACAGCCATCTTTGCTGAATACTCAAGATCAAATGGCCAGAAATGATCAGTAACAGGAAGAGATTTCTGGCAATGAGCGAACCAACCAGGGACCAATTGTGCAGCAAATATGCAGGAAGAAATGGAGGTGGATTGGCCATAGTTTGAGAAAACCATCAAGTGGCATCACACTCCAGACTTTCTCTTTCTCGAGTGGAACCCGAAAAGGAAGCTTTCAGTTGGTCGTCATTGTAAGGGTGACATGAACAGGAGGTGGTGATGTGAAGAGGAGATGAAAGTATGTGGTCAGACGTGGAGCCAGCTGAAAACGTTGGCAGAGGACCGAATGCAATTGAGACGTGAGGATGAAGCCCTATTTTCCTTTCGGAACCAAAGCAGATAATAGTGTGATGAGAGCAGGCTGCTAGCCAATTGGTAGACATTAATTTACGTCAATGTCTAGGTCACCAATATTGGCTGTGAGAAAATATGAACAAGGCTGATTCAACAACCAATCACAACAGACTTAACGTGGGCAAATATGATTCGCAGATGTATGGCTTAACTTTCCGAGAAACCAGAAACAACCAATCAGAAGACTGTGTTTGTCTGCTTGAATAAGGTATAATAATGTGCATGAAATATATACAAATACTTGCTGACTTCCGTAATAAAGCGATCTGTTGCCGGCCCTTGTCTTCTGTTGTTACAATAGTAATAATACTGGTAATAATTAATGTGTAACCTATAAGACAGTTAAATCGCTTACACTGTGTTAGCATAATTAACTTTATCGCTTTTAATTTCACCTTTACAATGTTGACTTTCACACGCTTTTCTTTTTCAGTGATGAATTCACCAAAGAAGTGATCCAGAGTCTTTCTAATCCATATTACAGCTTGAATAACAGAAATGATGGGGAAAAGGTGAGTCTGATTTCAACATGATAATTTTCACTGTTCTTCAACGCACTGATTGTAAAATACAGTGTGCATGTGTTAGAAAATAAAATTTAGTATGAATGTGTTGATACGTACAAGTGTGTGTTTATAAAGGGGTACTCGTGACCAGTGAGATCCACGAAGTCAGGTAAGAGTACAGTAACTCGCATAAACCATTAACTGACGATTGCAATATGTATATATATATACCACGAATTGATAGAAGTTGGAATTCATGGGCTGGTCGTCGTATCAGGATCCAGTGGCTAAATGGGTTATGGCGTCGCTCTGTGACCTGAAGTTCCTGGGTTCGAACCCCAGTGAGTGCCTACAGATGTGGGTGAGCATTCCTAAAGAGTATCAGACTTGAATGGAACAGCTGTGCCTGTTGGTTCAGTGGTTCTGAAACCGATGAAATGGGGATCTGTGCAGAAATGATTTATCTTGCCATGACGCAGAGACACACAAATTAATTGACATCACAGCAAGTGACGCTACTTGTTTGTGGTCCGAATAATTTAGGTCCACTAATATAGGAGGTGTTCAACATGAACTGTTGCTAGACCTTGAACTTTTCACTGTGGGATGCAATCATGCTCCTCTGATTACATCAAATGGAGTTTGTCCTTGACAAATGGCAACTACAAAGTACTCCGTGAAACTCGTATATTTTGAATAGTCGCACTAATTTTAGGTTGTTTGGAAGCTGTTTCACAGCAGTCAGATGGAATTATGATTAAGTATTCTAATATTGGAAATCAAAGTTAAAGTTTAAATGAATTTCCATAAATCTACTTAACCCACACTGGAATGCACAAATAAAATGAAGTGAGAAGTGGTTTAATGCGAATATTTTTTGAGCGACAAAATGCCAAGGTAACTTCAATTCACTCATCTCTTTGTAATGATCGTACGTATGAGTGCCTACAATGAGTTGTGTTGGAAAAGTGATCCATTTAATATTAATGTATTTCTGTGTATTATTTCAGATAAACATGACTGATATGAGATCATACTTAAGTACCACAGTGCCTGAACAAAATATTATTCTCACATAAAGTTTGATTTATTTATGCGAATGATTATAAGCTACTTAACTACGTAGAAAGTAGCTATTGCAATTCGCGCGATTATTTTTGACTCTCCATGAATTAATGTAACTGATTCTGCTGTCAAAAATCTTATCTTGCATATATATATATATATATATATATATATATATATAATACATGAGAAGTCGTCAAAGGTAACTTGTATGAATGTAGGTGTTATCACCTGGCGTTTTTGTGGAAAAGGAACATTTTAATAATGTCCTCTGAATGACGCGTATAGTGTGATAATGCCTGGAGCATAAGATTTGCTGATGTACAGTGACACGGAAGACGGGAAGTATCTTACATGTTTAAATTTTGGTAATAGCAGAAGGTGAACCGGTTGTATACTTGAATCGTGAGTGGTTAAATTACACTTCATCCTCATCAAATTAGTCCAGAAATCTTGTGGTTTTTGTGAGGTTATTATTATTATTTTATCCTTTAGTTCCTTGAGGAACATAGGGCTTCAGCTGCGCATATCCATTGCCTTCTGTAATGTGCCAACTTCTTCACCCCGCTCCAAGTCTATCCACATGTTTTCATCTCCTCTTCACATGACCTCCTCCAAGTCAACCTTGCACTGACGACCAACTCGCCGCTTCCCTTTCGGGTTCCACTCAAGCGATGGCCTGGCGTGTGATGTCACTTGATGGTTTCCTCAGAGTATGGCCAATCCATCTCCATTTCTTTTTGCCTATTTGTTTCACAATCGGTTCCTGCTGTGTTGGTTCGCTTATTGCCAGAGATCCCTGTTGCTGATCTTTTCTGGCTGGCCATCTAATCTAGTGTAGTATTGAGCGAAGAAAACTGTTAATGAAGGTGTGTAGTTTGTTTGAGGTGCTCTTTATGACTCGCCAAGTCTCTGATCCGTATAGTGAGTAGCACTGACTTCACATTGGAGTTGAAAATCCGGATGTTATTTTTGATTCTGAGTGCTGTTGACCTCCACACAGACTTCAGTGTAATGAAAGCCTGTCTTGCTTTCCCGATTTTCTGTGCTGTGATATCCTCGTCAGTTCTGCCGCCTATAGTTGAAACGATGCTTCCCAGGCACGTAGGTAAAGGAGGTTGTTTCTTTCATTTTCCTCCCATATATGCTGGCTGGTTGTTGCCTGTTTTTGTTGCTGTTGATGTTGGCCAGTAATCTTCATCACCTCTGTTTTATCTATGTTCACTTGAAGTGAGGTAGTTGGAGGCAGCCAGCAGGAAGCCTTGGGCCTTGGTTTCGTGCTTGTCATATGACTGAATTCTGTCTACGCCAAAAGAAGAATGACACACATGATACCATTTACTGCCTAGTTTCCAGACAAAGCATCCACTACAGTCTCACAGAAGATCAATCACGATAATGAATGGTTCAATAGTAGTGGTAATGTCTTTGATTGAAGAAGTGGGTGAATGTAGTTATACCCTAACGATCCAAACTGCACCGTGATGGCAAGTCAGCTAGCACATTGGTGACCAAATTGCACACCTAACTGATAGAATTCAGTTGGCGTGAAACGAAGAACAGGACAACAGAGGAAATTGGTCAGTGCCTGGTGTTTAATCAGAAATCTTACAGTTATTGTATTTGTGTGCATCAGGACTGAATAAATAGTATTAGTGGACGATAATTATACATACTCACAACATACTCACTTACAAGTGACACCTGAATACATGCGCCTTCATTTCATTACTGTAGAGATATTTTATATATTCTTCTTCGAAACATGTTTTTCATAACTGCAAACATGAACATAACACATCTCATTTCCTTTACAGATACTGAGAACAGAGGCTGATTGGCTACAGTTACCACAGAATCATACACTCAAAGGGGAACTGAAGAACTTGCTAACTACCTCGAAGCGAAATTTGAAATGGCTTGACACCCACCTCCAGACAATTGTACAATGGTTGAAAGAAAACGTTCCTCGTACAGCACAAGAGGTCTAGAAATGTTACTCAGTGTGGAGAAAATCGTCCCTGATTCCTATCTGAACCATATAACGTGAATCGAAATTCTGCTGTTCCCAAGATCTCTTTTAACTAATTTTTTATTTGAGTTTCAGGAGTTTTTATTTTTACATATTTCACTAGTGATATTTCCCTGTGAACGCTGTAACAATTCAAAAGTTTCAATTAATGTGTTTCTCCTGATTGAATATTCGTGGTGCAATTCCTTTCTCTTTGTGTTAAGTAATAGATACTCCTTTTGATATTGAGTGAATTTGAGTTTGATGGAGGGAGGAATGCTCACTATTGTAAGTCACTTGTAATCCAGATGCTTGAAAACTGTCCTTACGTCGTCTTTTCGGTTATGCATTGTAAAAAATGGTGTGGTTTAAGGTCAACAGTAGGAATACATGTTGTTGCAGAAAGATGACGTGCAGACTGTATGAGAGAAAATAAGCAGAAATACTAACACGGAGTTTAAAAGTTGATTTTATACAAAAGGATTTAAAAAAACGATCCTTATGATAAGATGCGTAATATAATTATAATAAACTATGATTGTGAACAAATTAGAATGAATTCCTTGAAATATCTTTATTATAAGCTATGTTCCTTCAAGTGAATAAGAGACAAGATGGTTGGGGGTGAATCGTGTTTAACTGGTCCTAGCACAATTTACCAAGTGTCGGTGAATTAGTGGTAAAAAATTGGTCAACCACTCAAATGGTGCGGGATTCAATCCCAGGCCGACAAGGCACTCGCAAACCTCACTTAGTTGGTAGTATGCTTGGCAAAGAGAGAAAGACTAGGAATCTTACCTGGTACAAATAAAACCACTGCTACTGAAATTTCATAGCTCTCTCTTGAAGCCGTATGTTCCACTGGGAACACAAAGGGATAAAATGAATAATAAAATAATAAGTATACTTCAGCGTTGAGCTAATCATCAGGTTATTTTCTCAAGATTTTTCAATAAGGACCTCATAAATTCATACAACTATGTGTACGACCAAACGTTTCTCTAACTGGATGTTGCGAAAAGATTCATGGAGACATGGGGATGCGAGAGACCGTTTCCCTCCAGAAAAATGTATGGCCTTAAGCATTTAGTAGGGATTACTTATTTACCTCTGACGAGTGCACGTGTAACAGACAGGGCAACAGTCCCAAACAGATAGTGGAAACAGGACATCAGCTGAGCAGAGAACGTACATTCATCACAAGATGAAATTTTAGAGTGAGTGGATACAGTTTTGAACTCCACTAGTATTTGCCACTTTTGCTATTGTTAGGATTTTAGAGGTAGACGGTCTTGACATTCGCGAATTGTACGGAGTATACTAACGCCGTGCTAGTGACTTCTTCGACGACTAAAGAATATTCGATTACTTGTGGATTGTTGGGTACGCCCAGCTCTAGGCTAATAGGATTACCTTCCAAGTAAGCCGGTCGATGCTGACGGTGTCTTCTCTGCGCTTTTTGTCTGAGAATAATGATTTATCCATACGTTTAATTAAGTTATATGGTCCGTCGTATGGTGGATCCAGAGGTCGACGCACAGAGTCGCGACGAACAAATACATGTGAAGAAGTTTTTAAACACGGGTGAACAAAGACATCAATGGACTGTTGACAAAGGGGAGCAGGTTTAACTGAACGCATTGCGTTTGTAAGCCTGCTGACGTATGAAGCGTGATCTACCGCTAGTGGGAAGCTCGAGGGAGAAACAAATTCACCAGGCAGTCGTAGTGTCGTAGCTGGGTTGTAGTAAAACCAGCATCGGTTTTCAGGGTGTTTCGTATCCCTAGGAGAGCTAAAGGAAGGAATTCAGTCCAATGGGTACTGTTTGCAGCTGACAAACCAGCTTTCGAATGTCTGTGTAGAAGTTCTATCATACCACTCGCTTGAGGATGGTAGGCTGTTGTTCGGAAACGCATGTAACCTATGATTTTAGTCAGGGAGAAGAATAAGCAGCTTTCGAATTGCCGCCCGCGGTCGATTGTTATGGAGGATGGGCGATCCATATCTCCACGAAGACGCGTGTGACTGTTTCAGCAGATACGTCCTTGATGGGTACTGCTTCCGGCCATCGTGTGAATCGATCGATGCAAGTCAAAATATAGGTATATCCACACGATTCAGGAAGGGGTCCAACCAAATCTATATGGACGTGTTCGAGACGAGCGTCAGGGAGAAGAAAGATGCCAAGAGGGCTTTTGGTGTGTCATATCACCTTGCACTTTTGGCAAGCTAAGCACGTGTGTGCCCATTCCCTTACTTCTTTATTTATGCCAGGCCAACAAAACCAACTAGTTACGAGCTTGACAGTAGTTCGAATACCTGGGTGAGATTAGCCATGCAACATTTTTAAGACGTTACGGTGATAACCTTTAGGCACGATGGGGCGAGGAGTACTAGTGGAAATGTCGCATAGAACAGTATCTCTTCCCATACCTAAGTGTTTCTCGGCGAATTTCATTTTTGTTTTTGACAACTCATGCTGAAGCTCGGTATCTTCTTTTTGAAGACGAAACAGTCTTATAAGGTCTATGCCGTCGATTCGGGTGAGGGAACAAACGCGCGACAAGGCATCTGCCACAGTGTTGTTCACTCCGGATACATGGCGACTATCCAATGTAAACTGTGAAACGTAATCTAGTTGTCGTTATTCCCTAGGTGAATACTTATCTGAGGTTGAGTTCAGAGAGTACGTTAAAGGTTTGTGATCAGTGAAATTTATGAATTCACGACCCTCCACTGAATGGCGAAAATGACGTATAGCACAGTACATAGCCAGAAGTTCTCTACCGAATGTGCTTTACCTCGTTTTAGCTAATTGAACATGCCTCGAGAAAAAGGCGAGTGGTTGCCACTCTTTGTTAACTTATCATGCCGTTAAAATTGCGGAGACTTTTCACTGTCTGTGGCTCTGGAAAGTTCAGTATCGCCTCGACTTTAGTAGCCAGTGGATGAATGCCCTTGCAGTAGCCGAGAAATTTGAGTGAGTCAATGGCTATCTGATACTTTTGAATATTGATGGTAACACCATGTTGGCGTAATCTTTCCATTGCCAGGTCCAAGTGCCTAAGGTGAGTTTCCTTGTCTGGACTGGCAATGAGGCAGTCGTCTAAGTATGTGTATACAAAGTTGAGACCGCGAAATACTTCACCGATGAAGTGTTGGAATGTTTGGGCTGCATTCCGGAAACCAAATGGCATACGTAGAAATTCAAAACGTCCGAAAGACGTAATGATAGCCGTTTTCGGAATATCTTCTCGTGCTATCGGGATTCGGTTTTACGCCTTAATCACGTCGATTTTAGAGAATATAGCCGTGCCAGATAAAGTCGCCGTCAAGTCGTTTATATGAGGGAATGGATAGCAATCAGGGGTTGTTTTGGCATTCACTCGCCGGTAATCACCAGTGGGTCGCCAATCGTTGCTATCCTTTTTCGGTACCATATGCAATGGGGATGCCTATGAGCTATTCGATGGTCGAATGATGCCAAGGGTGAGCATATTGTTGATCTCATTTCTAGCGATTCTTAGTTTGTCAGGAGCAAGTCGTCGTGCTCTAGATGTCACGGGCTGTCCTGAGGTTATGATATGGTGCATAACATTGCTGATTATGCACGGTAGATCGTTAGACGGGCAATTAAGTTGTGGATATGTATCAAAAATCGGTTGAAAATTTGGATCAAGTATTGCTTTCATCTTAACTAGTGACAAGCTGGGGTCTGTGTAGGTGATGCCTTTGATAGACAGACCAGTAGTATTGTCAGTCAGTCGTTTTCGACGGTCGTCTACGAGTAAATCATGGTGATTAAGTAGGTCCGTGTCAATGATGGGCATTGTGACGTCAGTGGGAAGGAAAATCCATTGAATTAGTTTGCGTAAACCTACGTTCAGGTGAACGTATTTCCTACTAAAAGTTGCGATTGGTTTTCCATTTGCAGCCTGTAAGTTGAAGGTGGGTTCCTTCTGTCGATCTACTGCCATGGCAGGGAGGACGCTGACTTCGGCGCCTGTGTCGACTAAATATCGAGTCTGGCTGATCACATCATGGCTGAAAAGTAGGCGGCTAGTGCCACCGATGGCGGTTGCCACTAACGCGTGCCAGCGTGATAGTTTCCCACAGACTTTGAGACATTTCCGAAGTTACAAAGTTTATGGAAACATTTCGCTTCCTGGCGATAAATATTGTGGTACCAGCACCAGTCAGGGTTTTTTCAGAGAACGTGGCTTGGACTTAGATCGACCAGGTGAGTTTCGCCGTTGAGGGGATTTCGGACGACGGTAAGAGGAATCACAAGGCATAGTTGACCTAAACATCTGCCGGATGGAATTGCATAACTCTATCACTGCAGTATCCTTATCTGAAGTGTGTTTCGCCACCGAGCATATTTCAGGAACTGACCGTTTAGTTATTTCTAGAATCTTATCTACAGAAATAGCTAAGTCATTCTTAATAACACCCTGAGGTGTCACAAGTACAGTCTGCACGGACTGTGGCAGCTTGGATAAGAAGATTTCTCTGAAAAGTCCTTCATCGAACTGACTTTGGCCAACAACCTCTCTCATTCTTGTCAGCATGCTCACGGCTGACTGATCTCATAACTTGATATTACGAAATAATTCGTCCAGACGTTGTCGATCCGTGAGTACGTTTCTCCTGAGGAGGGATGCTTTGAGCAACTCGTAAGAGTTACTTACCTTTTTTTTTTTTTTTTTTACCTGTACACACTTGCTGAATTCCCGCGGTAGGGAGTGAATAGCTGTGTGGAACTTTAAACGTTGATCGGTTATCCCATGCTCACAAAAATCAGATTCAGCCATCTGAAACCACGTTTCAGCATTATCTGGCCAGCATGGTACGAGCTGAGTGGTTTCGGCAGTTGAGCGAATAGGAATGACCTTGGGACTAGGATCACTCATGACGAAATGAATATCGATTACAATATAGTACAAGAACATATACAAAAGGAACGAACTCACCGGGTTTATCTGCGTATTAAGCGAAGATGGAGTTCGCGGTTGGGCTCACCAGTTTAGAGGTTGACGGTATTGACGTTCGCGAATTGTACGGAGTATACTACGCAAAATCTTATACCAAC